GGTCAATAGCGACTTTGTGTATCTGTCGGCCTGGCAAATCTGCAGCACGAGAATCGAGAGTCCTTCAAGAAAGAAGAAAGAAAGAGAAAGAGAGAGGGAGAGAGATAAAAAGAGTGAGAGAGAGAGAGAGAGAGAGAGAGAGAGAGAATCCGGTTCTTTTATTACATAATTTTGAATCATCGATGCAAGACACGGATCTTTGATCTAATTGTACACTTTCGCATTAATAATAAAAAGTTAAGTTGTTCGTTACGCTAATCCCCAAGGACTCGTACTACAAACGGAAGAAATTACTGACTGAGGTCGCGACGTAAGCTAATGACGAAGAGAAAACTCATGAGAAAGCTCAATATTGCTGATTGAGGCATAATAATTTCTGCAAGTGCGATGAAAAAGACAATCGCATCTTCAACAGCTGTACTATATATTACGATAAGTATGCAGTCTAAGCTATAAAATATGTATAAAGTATTCTTTTATACTTTAGTATCGAGAGAGATCAATACATTGAAAAATTTTTCATCAGTACTTAATAATCCGTTAAATTATATTATTGGTTATAAATCAGTCTATGATTAATAAGAAAAAAATATACTTTAAACTCCTTAAATTGTTTTACACAATCAAAATTTAATTCATAATAGTAAAAAAGCACACATATACATATATATGTTTTTTATTTTATTTAATTTTTCAATTATATTTTTATTTATATTTAATTTATGAATTTATACTATATGCATATGTATTTTATAATACTTGCTATATTTAATATAAAAATTATATAAAATCTCGAAATATGTATCGCAATATAATTCTAGAGATGATGAAGCGAAATTCTCTACATGTCTTTCTTTCATATTTTCGAGTCATTGTGGAAGTTTTGCCACGCAGAGTCCCTCTTTCTTAATAACAACAGATTTAAGTTAAATTGATAGAGGTCTATATTGACAAGGACTCAATGATAAATATTATTCTACCGTAAATATATACGTTATATAGCTAGATATGTTAACGAGATATGATCGAAATGGAAAATCGATGATCGCGCTTGGCATGAAAAATGCTAAAACGCGTTTGCTTAAATTAGGATAAATTAATAAATCGGAATGAATATGGATTATTACACAAGTTTCTCGTATCTTGAAAAAAGTTGCATCTAAAATTGAAAATCTAGAAAATATGTTTTATAAGACGAGAAGAGAGTATTATGTATAGTATTTTCGGGCAATTTTTTTACGCAACGAATCTCAGAAATGGACGTTTTGGCACACCCCGTAGATCCATAATACGAAACGTTTCATGCAACTACGCGCCAGAGCAAAATCGATAATTAAATGGAACTCGTACGGTTTCGCAACTTATCAGCTCAGCACACGGTTTTGCCGGCGATTCGGTTTTATTCGCGAAAAACACTTATCTATTTTTATCATGTCGTTTCTTCGGCATTTGCAAGACGTATTGACGACTCACTCGCGAAAATATTTTAAAGACACGCAGATAAAAAGGAAATGTAACAAATTCCTGACATATGAATTTGTAAAACATAAATATGGAATATAAATACGAGAAAGAGGATGTATATCGGAAGAGAAAGAGAGACAAATTTTTTTATCATAAAATTCAAAAATATCCACAAAGAGAAGATTAAATTTCATCCCTGTTGTCTCGCTTTTAAATTCTAAACTATATGATTCTCAATATTTCAATATTTTAATATTTCGACATTTCAACATTTATTACGTTTTAATGCGACGTATATTACGTAAAGCATTATATATATTTTTAATATTTCGATTATTCATATGCTCTCACGTATCATAAATTTACATTTTGCATAAGAACGATAAAACTATAAATGCCGTTAGTCCGCAGTGAGAAGGTTCACTGACGAACCAATGTCAAAGAATGACATCATGCGAAAACGTTTATCTTAATTACGGATATATGCAAATTGAAAATCTCACGCTATACGAGATTTGCCGTTAACTCTTTCTTCTCCGGACATCGATATCTATTTCTGGATCAGGGTAGATCCACCCGTCAGATTATATCCAGATTTCCTCGTTCAACGTTCGAGATTCATTCTAAAAAGTCGTTTTAACGCACGAAATGACATATCTTTTCTATTAAATAATTATTTCAAGTAGAGATTACATCTCTTCCGCCTGATCCAAGAGAGAGAAGTCGAGTCCCGGTAGAAGGGCGAAGGCTGAAATAGACGTCGATCGATTTTGCTGAATGCGGAATGGGGTTCATTGAGATACGCGCTCGCGCCGAAGTCAGATCGTAGGAGGAGAGACGGAGAGGGCGATAGGGGGACAGGACTATCAATCGACTATCAAAGTCGCTGTCATCCGTCGTCCCGACAAGCTTTCCTCAACAACGGAAGGAAATTACCAGCGCGATATGTAATCGGTCGACATGACTAACGTCACAGAGATTCCTTCGTCATCTTGTGAAATTATTCCTTCTCTCGCCAAAAGGGGAAATCTAACGCGAAGTCTTCTCTCTGTCTTAATCCCGGTAAACACGATAATGTTCTGTTGTGTGTACGTACACATACACTGTGTGTACATGAAACTTTGTGTTTATACAGTTAATATATGTGTGTTCTCATAGTCTAGAAGACTTAAGAGAAATTTTACTGTAACAATAATACATGTGTCGTATATTCAATTAACGCTATCCGCATAATCCGTTTGATTGGTATGTTTAAGCTTTATTTTATTTTTGTAATTTAATTTAATAATTTTTAAAATAATTTAATAAATTTTATGTAATTTGTAAAATTTTATTTAATTTGCTTAGTTTTATTATGTTTCAAAAAATAATTAAGCGGTACTAAAAAGAACACAGTTAAGAACAAGTTTTGTCATATACGTAAATATTTTATGTGTGTGCTTACTCTCTCTCTCTCTTTTTATAAATAATAAATTTGAGAACATCTAAAACAGCTGTTTACAAGTCTTTCGTATACATAAGATTTATCAAAAGCTGCATTATAATTTTTTATTTATGTATCCTAAGGCTAACTTCGAAGTAAAATTCGCGACATTAAAGCTCTTCCACCCTTTCAGTTTGAGACTTTTATAAATTATACTACTTCTCGAAACAATTTCCGAAACTTTTATAAGTTATGTATTTCTCGAAACAAATTATATAATTGCGTTTAAATTAAAAATGAAATATTAGCGTTTTTATTCCCTCAAATAGATTTTTATAAATTACGTATCTCCTAGAATAATTTCATAATCAAATTATTTTGAAATTGCATTCAAATTAAAAATTATATGAAATAGAAAGAGAATAAAGATTTCGCAATTTTTCTCAACTAGTTGCTTCAGTATACGACATAGTTATGTGATTAACTCGAGTCGTAAATATGAGTAAAATGATTTAATTATGTGTAATTTACTTGACATAAACAAAGTGCTCCGAAAATGTTATCGTTATTTCCGAGATATTAAAAAACCAGAAATAAAGAATTATCAACACAGAATAGATATTTATATCTTTCAGATACCCATCCATTTTCCTAAACTAACAAATGTACTTTAAACATGCACTTTAAAGACGCAATAAAAGAAATTCAAAATAAAAGATACGTGATTTGGGTCACTTTCGTAATCGGACATTATAACCTAGATCAGACAAAGTTATATGGACATGATATTTACATGTAAACGAATGTGTACAAGAATTCACGTCTCTTTCGGACAGATTTAATGTTTTGAAATCCAATTCGAGACTCTCTCTCTAGAAAAGCAACTCGTCGATAAATAAGACGATTCCATCCTTTTCAACCGTGCCATTCTGCATCTTTCTTCGTTTTCCTTTTCTTTCGCAAAAAGGACGAACCTTTATATCTCGTTTGTAACGTAAAAAAATGTAGAGAAGCTTTTTGTGGAAAAAAAAGAAAATGAAAATATATTTGCTCGTGTGAACGAGAATCTTAGCGTGTGCTAAAATTATATTGTATTATAACATAATGCGTATTAAAATGATATGTAATATATAAGAGCGATAAAAATATAATACTAATTTTATAATTATAATAATTAATGCCTTTTTGCATATTCATGACTTGCGTAATTAACATATAATTGACGTTCCGGATCCTGTTTTCAAAAGTAGGGTGTTAACGATCGCGCGAGTTGGAAGGCCGCCTCCAGGAATCTAACATACACCGAGTAAAGTGTCCGTCCTTTTCGCACTCTCTACAATTTTCTTTCTCTTTCACTTTATCAAAAATATACATTTCGTCTTCAAACAAAAAAAAACAGCTAAGAAAGGATGGATTTTTATTCTCATTTCTCCTTGGGATACGCACGATTCCTATATCACTATATCGATCTCTCAAGATTCCATCTTCGTCAGTCAACACATTCGTCTCACTTCTAATTGCTTTCCCGATTCGCACATTCGCATTTTCACCAGAATTTTTTGACAGCACGCGAATAAAAAGCATCGTAAATATATTTCAAGAAATATACACGTCAATTACGCTCGATTCCGAGTAGAAAGGAGGATTCAATCCAAAGTTGGTTTCAGCGATTGTGCTCGTCAGGGAATTGATTCTCGTCAAGGAGAATGCCGGGGAGATGCGAGTCAAGCGCGAGTCACCTTCCTCGACGGCAGACAAGTGGAAAAGGTGAGCGACTCCTCGCTCAACTCGGCCCCTCTATACCGCTGCTCTTTCACGCGTACTCTCGCTGTGCGTAGACAGCGGAACGGACAGATGGACTCGAGATCGCTCGGAATCCCGGAGTACACCCTGCCGTTCCGCGTCACGAATCGAAATCGTTAACCTTTCCCAATTCAAACGAATTTGTTCTCTCTTGCTCTCGACGCGAATCAAACGAAAATTGGTGCAAAACGCGAGACAAAGGGAAGGAGAAGAGACAAGAAACGCCACCGGCTGTGCAACTATTCGTTTGAATTGGCAAAAGCGCCGGCTGCCTCGGATACGACCGAGGAACTTTCACTTTTTTACTCACAGTCGAGATGCTTCTTTTTGGGTCCAATCATCTCCTCCGTGGTGGCCTTGCAAACGGACTTGGCGAGGCCCTGGCCGGCGATGCTGTGCCTCGCAGCCAACAGCCTGTCGTTGATCGTCTGTCCCGCCATACTGTCGTCCTGCCTGTCACGCAGCGAGTATCAGTAACAGTCAGCAATAGCACTCGAATTCGGCGATTTATCCGGCGCGGATAAATGGAGCCACTCCTCCGTCGTACGCGGGGATGAACGGGAGACGCGGGCGATGGCGAGGGCGAGGAATCCCGAGGATCCCGGGGCGAAGTCGGCCGTTCTTCGGCGCGACGCGGACGGACGGACGACGAGTTTTCGGCAACCAACTTCACTGCGATGCCTTCGCGCGATGATACGACACACTCGAGGCAGCGTAAACGAGAGTCTCTCGAGACCAGGCGCTACCGCGCGAGGCGCCCGCACACGTCCCGCTCGCGTTGCGATATTACACTTGGGCCGCGCTGCTTTTCCGGTACCTCTCCTCGCTCTCGTTCTCCTCCTTCTTTCCCTCGTCCGCCGCCTCCTCCTCCTCCTCCCTCTTAGCCGGTTCGTCCGTTCGCGCGACGCGAACAATAGCCCGCCGCGATTTCTCCGCGTTCACCAGCAGCGGAGCCAGGCAGGCCTCGCGCTCAGCTTCGGCAACGGCTCAGCTGGACGGCGTAACGTCGGCGGCTGACGGCGACAGCGGGCTGCTTCTATCTGCCAAGATGGCGGCGGCGCTCAGTGCGCCGACCGTGCCGCGACCATCGCGCCCCCACTCCGTCCCGAGCCGGGCCGGCCGACCAATCGCGAGCGCCCGCTGTGACACTTGGCGCCGCCGTGACGTCACGCCGCCTGGTCGGCGTGAGCAGGATTTCAGACTCGGGGGTGTATACTAAAAGAAAAATGCGCGCTCGTTCGGATTAACGATGATCTTTAGCCCTTAATCGATTGAAGGGATACTTTATTCATCGAGGGGGAGATATCTCGTTCCTTCGTCGGTTTCATCGAGATGCGTGCGCGGTAACGATGTCGGTAACGCAACTTCCTAAGCTACTCGTTCATCGATTAAAAAATATGACGTGAGTTAGTACCCGTCTCATGGTTGCCAACGTGAGGGCGGTCCAAAGTCGAAAATTCTTACCATATGGACGCTATTTCGAATATTACAATCGTTTGTGTTCGTATAATAATTTTTTTCAAACGCAAAATATATTTTATCTCGATATGTGGACTTTGTGGAAAATCTTTGTAAAAACGAAGAAAAGTGGAACGCTTGAAAATATTGTTATAAATAATATTGACCATGGTCGGGGAGACGCTATAAATGCTTCGAGATACATTGCACCAATGAGAGTAAAGAAATTTTGTTACTTTTGTTCCAGTTGATTAATTAAACGCTTCGAAGCATCTCTAGCGTTTTCCAAATCGCAATTATTTACGTATTCACACTTCTGTTCGTGTCATTCACTTTATAGGGGGCGTTAGTTCACAGAGAAAAATTTTCAAGCTTCACATAATTCGCATATATAATCTTAATAATAAGATTGCTAGAATAAAGAATATGTGACTGATATAAAAACACTGCCTTTTTAAAATTATTTTGATATGAATTTAAATGTGAAAAAGAGAGAAAATAAAACATAATTAAAATTTAATTAGATCATAATAATAAATAGCTTCAATTGCACTCATATTTTATGTTAAATATATACTTATATATTCATCAAATCAACGAATATACTTGGAGATAATTAGAAATTGACATGACCGACATCGTTTACCAATTCACGCCGTTATAACACATGAAAATTGAATTCAAAAATATACAAAAAAAAAACACAAATTTAATGTATATTTTCTCAATTAGAATAATTAATATTATAATATTAATGAAATCAATATAAAAGATTGAATAATAAAAAATAATATTTCATCATACTACTTATTTTAATCCCAAAATTTAGTCGTATAATCACAGATTATTACCTTATTCAAGTAACCTCACAGCGCGCAAAGTTAATCATAATTATGCTTTCAAAACAATGATAAAACTTACGTTATATTTTATCCATTATTTTTGAAGGAAGAAGGTCGAGATTCTGCCCCCGGCGACGCTTCTAGTTGTCGCGTCAGACGCCGTCGTCGCTCGCATCGGTGGCTGGAACGTGACTGGAGCGCCAGAAGGGGTCATCGCGTGAAACGCGGCATCGCGGTTCGGAGTTCGGAGTTCGGAGCGCGGTTCAGTCGGGTCCGGCGCGGCGAAGTTGGCCGTTTTCGAGGTGCGCGTGTGCTCGGGAGAGCGGTTTCGAAAGCAGGTTCCTCTCGGAACGACGTAAAGCGCGGCAAGATCGTCCCAGAATCCAACTGTCACGTGAAACCGCGTGCCTCTCGCACGCGCACGTTCGGCTCGTGCAAGACCCCCGATATCCCGTCTCAAGATTCTGCGACTCACGCTCGGAGCTCTTAGGAGGATAACGACGATGGTCGACAAGGAGGAGGCGCGGAAACGCTTGACGCCGCTGCAGTGGCATGTGACGCAAGAAAAGGGCACCGAGAGGTGAGAGGTTCCTTCCACCAAGAGGCGCGAAACTCGAATCAAGTTTCAACGAAAACCACGATCGCCCCTAGGTCCATTTTCGAGTACCCTCCTCACGGGAAAATGATCCGAATGAAAATCGTAGGAAATTTTGAATCGGTCTTCACATCTCGCGTAGTAGATTTTGACTTAATTAAAAATGCAAATCTTGCTCATTGAATCATGCATTCTAATCATTCTTATTTGCAGGCGCGACCAGTTTCCCGTTATCACGCTCCGACGACGCGTTTAATTTCCTTCATCGGAGAAAAAGAGAAAGATAGATGATGCTATAATAGTCGAAGCGTATAACATAGTTGCGCAACGACGATAACATAATAGAAACTTCGAACTATGCTAATTATATTGGTGACACAAACGGATGTTACTCGTGGCGATCCATATTTACACAACTTGCCAGATAATTTTCACCCCACTCCATTTTTCAGATTTAAAAATATCTCATTTGAATCTTGAACACAAATTTATAGTATTTGAAAAAAAACAACTTATATTAATGAAATAATTATATTAATTAATTGATTAAATAAATTTTTTATATATATATTTATATATAATATAAATTTATACATAAATTTATATATAACTATTATATATAATATTATTTATATATAATAATTATATATTTATATATAAATATTTATAATATATATAAATGTTATATATAAAATTTAGTATTTATCCACAACAGGGTTAACATGGTTATCAGTACATGCTTTTGCAAATAAAATCGCGATATGACGTAACTTACTGAAAGATATGTCATAAAGTCACGTTCCCGCGCGATTAAGTTCAACCTTAATGTTAGACGATGTATAACCGAAATAACTTTTTCAAGAGCGTCTGGCTTTGAGAGAACTTGTCCCTCACGGCCAACAGGTTTAAAAATAAACAATATGTGTCATGCACGGTTTGCTCCCCCTTTTTTCCCTCTCCACGCGCTATCCCAACTCACCCTCATTCTTATTCTTTATTTCGCAGGCCGTTTACCGGTTGCTACAATAAGTTTTACGAGAAGGGAATGTACACTTGCATCGTGTGCGATCAGGAATTATTCTCCTCGGACACCAAATACGACAGCGGATGCGGTTGGCCTGCATTCAATGAGGTTTTGGATCAAGGACGCATTAAACTGACCAAAGACACGTCTCATGGTAAGCGATTACGGTCTTCGTTAGCGTATCTTTTACAGTGCATTCTCAGAATGGCATTCTACGGACATATATATAAACATTTTGCGTTTGTTTCAACATTAAACATGCACAATCCCTTTAATAATACGCGGGTACACTCGAAATTGAACTGTGACAATTATCAAAAAAGTCTTGTGTTAACGAGTTTGTACCCGCGTTTACTATTATATTTACAAAATTATAATCGTAACGTATGTTTCATACATAATTATATACTTGTAACATTATTGAACCTATCCTAGTCATTTCATCTATTTATTTTGTGTCGAAAGTGTAGAGATTTCTTTATATATTTTCAATATGTTTCTCTCATATAAAATTAAATTTTTCATATCGCAAATTTAAAAAAATTATAACTTTAATTATAATAATTATAATTTTATTATAATTATTATAATATGATTAATTTTATTATAATTTCTTAATTATTTCACTTCCATTCACTTTTATGTGCCTCTTTGATAACATATTCGTGAATGCAATTTTTTTTGTGCACATATGTTTAAAAAAATATTTGGATATTTAAAGAGACAAGTAGAATATCTATATTTATATGTGGTTCTATTAAACTTTAGAATGTTGTATATATTAGATGAAAATTCTCATTCTCTCTTCCCGATTCCTGCATGTACTTGCTTAGAGTGTGATTGTGTTAGACTTACATCACTTTTTATATTAAACGTAATGTGCTACATTATATATGAAACTCATTAAAATGTATGATTTAAAAGATAAAAGTATTTGCCATATATTTTTACTTTTAGAATGCTGTGTATAGCTGTGCTACGAGGTTTTCTTTTTAATTGTTCAACAAATTATAACTTGCGACACAAATAATAATACATATCTTTTTTTCTTAGCTGGAAATTCTTAATGCTTAAATATATAAATAGATATTGCTTTTTACGACATATCTGTTTGATGCAAATAAAATTCCTTTGCTTTGATGTTATCGTTGTAATCGATAACACAGTTGAAATAATAATATTTGTATGTTTTAATACTCACAGCTAAATATATAATAAGTATCTCTGCTTTTGCAATGTAAATGCGCTTGATATAAAGAAATATACTTGCACATATGAGCAAAATAAACTACAATAGTTAAGTAAAATGTAAAATATATTGTGTAATTTTTTGCCAAATAAACGTACACGATTGGAATTGATAATAAACGGGATCAAAAAGGTCAGTTCATGTATAGAATGTACAATAAAACCGTTTCGTATATATGTGTACGCACTTTTTCATTATTATTCTCTTTTAGTATCATAAATGTTACCTATTCTTCTCATAATCGGGGAATCAATTCTACTTCTTTTATAATTTAATAGCTCTCTTTAGATCACTTCTATTCTCAAAAGTGTATCACGAAAAGGGTGTCGGTCTGCGTCTAATCACACTCTATTATTCTTTCTCCTTTTGCCTTCCTTGAATTCTCCTTGGCTACTACTACTACTACTACTACTACTACTACCACCACCACCACCACCACCACCACTCTTCACTCTCATCACTGAAAAATAAACACCACTGAAAACCGCGCGTCACGTCGAATTAAACGACGCTAGTCGGCGGCAATCTACTACTGCTGATCGCAAACCCAGATATGGTGCGGACCGAGGTGACCTGTTCGAAGTGCAATGCACACCTGGGACACGTGTTCAACGACGGGCCGAAACCTACGAGGAAACGTTTCTGCATCAATTCCGCCTCTATAAGCTTCCATGCAGCGGGAGAAGAGAAAAAGTCTACGTAAAATAAGCTCTCCTTGTTGCTTATTATTATTTTATAATACTTCCGATTTATGCGACTCACATATGAGATCATATATATGTATAAATATGTTTATACTTCGTGTTATAAACATTATAAAATACCTCCGATTTATATTTATATGCATTGTAAAGAGATAGTGTAACAATTATTATCGCCAAAGGCTGTCTCTGTAAAATAAAAGTTTGTTATTATTATTATTATATATATAGGGAATATTTTATCACTTTTGACGCAATGCGAGTACAATATCGCCATTAATCCTTCTATGTCAATTACTATATATTTTCTTTTGATTTATTCTATTGAATTATATACAACTTTTGCGTATATTCCTTCTTACAGCTTTTGCAAAAGTTTATTCCATTTACATGCAGAGATAAAACGTTTCCGACCGACTTTTCACACGCGACGAGAAGCTAATTCTATGTTATATCAGTTCTGAAATCTCTGCATTGTGTACTGCTTACCTTTTCGATATTACAAATATAGTATGTACAGATCCGTATTAAAGAGAACAAAGTTAAACTCCCACACAAGATGTATCTATACTATGATGTGATGCGAGAAAGCGCACGATAATGAAAATGTCTAATAAAAGAAATGTTATTTTTTCAATAAATGCCATATGTAATATATACCACGTAGTCTAATTTAATACATCAAATAATATAAAGTAGAAAAATATGAAGTAGATGATGATTTTTCTCTTAATATTATATTAGGCAGGGAGGATATATTTCATACTAAATGAAGAACATATTTGTTATAAAATGTTTCCTTATATTGTAACGTTTCAAAACAAACTGAAAGGTGTTATAGTACAATATATGCGCAAAATTCTAGGCATTATTTTTACAATTCATTACTCCTTTTCTGTTTTTTTTTTTGCACTCCTTTACTTTGAAATTTTTATCGTCACAAAAATTTCAAGTGTTCTTCCTGAGAGACCAAATTTCTGCCGAATGTTTCCCGATAAATGCGTTTCTTTCTTACAAAAGTTAAAGTCGAACGAACCTTCCTCCGTCTGGAAGGATCGAAGCTTCTTTTTTTTCTTTCAATCTCAGCAGTAAAATAGCGACTTTGTTACTATAGGCCTACTACTTCTTTCTTTCATTCGGAGATCACAAAGCATTTTCAAAAACATCGTAAAATGCTACAATAAAACATGCATACACACACTTAACATGATTCGCATATTAGGAACCTATTTTTAAGAACCTAAAAAATAGAGACGAGATACGTAGTCCACATAGCAAATAATTAAATGCAATTGGAAGGATCGTCAAAATATGGATGCATAATCGGATGCAAAGATGCCCGCATTTTCTTTTTACGTTAAAAGATTCGCCTGCTCATATTTTTTCCTCAGAGCTCTCATACGTTTGCGATTCGTTTGTCAATGTCAAAAATAATGAATACTTTCGTGATGCATCACTTATTATTATTACGATAAGGCATGCTTGGTACAATTTTTGTACTTTATTTACGCGATAAAAGGATCATCCGGTACCATTATCAGCGAACGTCTATCTACATGCTAAGATGCGCTTCAATCAGGGTGTGCATCGATCGGGTGATATTTCATGCAGGCAATTTTGCATCTCGCGCGACCCGATTCGCGTAAGTAAAATTATAAACGTTAATTATAATAGCTGCTGATATATAGCTGTGGTATATATTTGTTAAAATATAACTGCCGCGAAACAAAGAAAAGAATGTAAATAGAGAAGACAGTCGCGCCGAGATATTTGTGAAAATGCAGGACCTCGCTCTTCTTAGTGCTTCTGATCGTCAACTTTAACCCTGGGGATCGCACCATTCTTTATTTTTATATATTTTTTTCACACACTCATACTTTTTTTCTTTCGTTAATACTAAAACGTGCGCACGTTATTTTGTCTCTTGTCAACAATCCGATCGATTTTAAAGACGGACGCCGAAGAGGAGATTAACGCGAAACGTGTCGCGGAATACTGAAAAAAGGGGGTGCATATTTAATTATTATTCTATTTCATATGGTACTTGAAGTTTTTCTAAAAATAAATGGCATCAAGTTTCTTTCGGCATTCCGACCCTAAATTCGATAGTGAATGTCGATGCAAACTGAGCTGCTTCCGCTCTTTCTCGATCAAGTACAGTCAAACTTTATAAAAATCTCTAATCAGGCTTTTCTTCAAAAGATGATACTATAAAAAAAAAAGGAAAAACAAAATAAACTCGTCGAAAAATGGATACGCTGTACGTACGATTATTAAATAATGTACGGGCTTTTCCCTCTTTTTCATCTCATTTCTCGTATGCAATATAAGTATATCGTTAATTTCTCGATTTATAACTATCGTAATTATATTTTCACATGATTTCAGTTAATATTAATTTATATACGAGTCCTATACATATACATGTATAACGAAAAACCTCGTCGACCGAGTCATCTATCCACCGCGCGAAAACCGGAAATTGGGCAAGCATAAGCTACTCGCGTATTTTTCAAACTCGAAAGAAAGAAAAAACAAACGTCGAGCTCGCGTTATCCGGAATAGAACACGAACATTCATTTAGAAAAAATTGTTTCCTTCTTCTCTCGACATTTCTTTTTTTTCTCTTATCATAGAATCAAAAGTTTTACAAATAATTTCTCGCAATTTCGACATTCTCGCATTCGAAGTCTTCTTATGATTGTATTAACGTTACAATAAAAAATGTATGCGCATCAGAATCTGCAAATTTTGCTTGTATTCTATCTATGCTTTCTATCATTGATCTCATCTGTCGAGCTGTCGCCTTTTTTTACTTTTTGGGCTTTCACGCGACAGATATTTCAGTCGAATAACGGGCGACGTATGTAAAATGAAGAAGATAAAAAAAAAGAACGATACGAAAATCTAATTACCTAAGATAATTAAATGTACTTCTAAGATATTCGTTTCTTTCGATGACGCGATGACGCTCGGATGATATATAATACAACATTAGGAAAGACATATCTCGATAATGTTCGATGCAAATACAACCATACATACGTAACCACAACTCGTTCTACACAAAAAAACGTACAATACAACTCAACTCCATTATACGTGTATGTGTGTATATTCGATTATTTGTTTCTCTTCTCTCTCATGATGCTAAAACGAAATATTACGTATCGTAATACGGTGGTTCATAAGAAATCTAACGCGAGTTTTCTTTTTTTTTTTCTTCACGTCTCTAAACGACAAGACAGGCACTTTATAGTGTCACAAAATGCTTCTACGTCTGAACCTTGTTTTACAGTTTCATATCAATTGTCCGCTCGTCTCTCATATCATCTTTTCTTTCCTTTTTATTCTGCAAGACACGTTAAAGACAATTATGTTGGACTTATAGCGAAGAACACACGTGATACGGACAAACAGTTTGCCCTCGGAAAGATGTTCTTATCGACTAAGTAGTAAACCTTGGTAAGTTTCGCGTCTTAACGTGTCTCTTCTTCTCTTTTTTCTTTTTTAATGGCGCAAATGAGAAAAAATACTCATCTCTTCGTTCATAAAGCTCTAAGTTAGCGGCCTCAAACGAGATATGCAATTCTTACGCAATCGGCTCAGAGCAAACCAATTTTTCTATATTGTAAACGCCAATATAAATTGCGATATTTTTTTATAAGAGAAAAATAATTGCTAAATTAATTTCTCTTTTCAATAGAGAAACTGAATCAACAACGAATCAAATATAATCAATGATCAATTGACGTGAGTCTTGAGAACGTTGAAAACAAATTGTACTCTACCGCTTACACATCTATTCGTCGCGCTAATCGGATTAAAACACACCAAAAACATATTGCTCTGTTTCACCGCGTAATCTCTGTCGAAAAATACAAGTCCGACACGAAGACCAATTTTCTTTCTGTCTACGATCTCTCATTAAACAATAATATATATTAGAATAGGTCCTATGCACTTGTTCACACATTTGTTTGTGGTATTATCTATTAAGATTCTCGCGCTATAAATAATATGCGTTTCTTGCTAACTCTCTTTCCGATTTGAATTTTTTTCTTCTTTCTTTTTTTCTTTTTAGAGAGTCAGTATAATACTAGTTTTATATTTTTAGAAAATAACTGACAATCGCTTGTATTTCCTCGATGACAATCTATCAAAATTGCGGCAAAAGCTCAGGCAACAGCGTACATATCGTAAAACATATTTCATTTTCTTATTTCCTTTCAAGACTAATCTAAGACTTTTGCGAGTCCAGTTTTACACGCCCCAATTGTAATTAGATTTTTTATCGAGGAAAACAAGATCTCTGTCATTAGATCGCTCATAGCTCTTTCTGATTTAACTTTGTTGTTTGCGCTCGCAACATGCGAGAATCGAGCATTTTTTTAACTGTGCAACCGCTCTCTCGATACTCCATTACGGTATCGAATATCTATCTATCTATCAATCTATATGCATACGTAATGAATATATGCACGCGTATGTGTATACATGTATATGACGCCGCAAATAAAATAATACTCACATACGATATACACATAGGTATGCATACATACATGTATATATATATATGTATATTTATTCATTTATATATATATATATACGTTTATATTTATTATTTATTATATATTATTGAATTATTGTGCCGTTTCCGTTTTGGGAGGGTGATTCATTATTTCTTTCTTTCTTTTTTCGCATCGCGTTCGCATAACCGCACTCATGTCTTTTACGACTACTAATCGTACCACTGCCTCTTTTAATGACCTTTGGCAGCTTCTTTCGCTGCCATTATTAAAGGTGTTAACGAAGCTAGTGGCCTGGCTAATTTCAGAAAAGGATGCTGCAATTCAATTTAAACACATATTTCGAATTAAATCGACTCGAGCGAGAAATATGAAGAGAACATTCGCGTTCTATATCAATAATAATGATTTCTCTTACCTTTAACAGTTCGGAAGCCGCGGACCGTTTTTCCACCTCAACTTCTAAACACTGATCTAGAAAATCTTGAAATATACCCGACAGTTTGTCTTTTTCCTTGATTTCCGGCTTGCCATTCGTCGCAATCAAGTACAAGGCTCTCAACGGGTTTTCATTCAGATACGGTGGTTCACCTTCAATCATCTCGATCGCCATTATTCCCAATGACCATATATCAACCTGTGACACCAAAGTACAATTGATTTATTACGCTTTCAATCCTTTACTTTAATAATTGATAATGATTGTATGTAATCTACCTTAGGTCCATACTGTTTTCGTGTCACTACTTCTGGTGCCATCCAATACGGTGTACCGACCATCGTCGTCCGTTTGCTCTGCTCCGGCGAGATTTGCGCGCAAAAGCCAAAATCCGTTAACTTCACCCCTCCGTCCAGTCCCAGGAGGATATTGTCGGACTTGATGTCCCTATGTATAACCTGATTGCAATGAAGGAACTCGAGTGCCTGCAATACTTCTCTGCACACTGCAGCAATTTGACCTTCGTCCATACAAGTCTCGGTCACAACATCCGTCAAGCTGCCACCTGGCAAATATTCCATGACTACCCACAGTTCTTCCCCGACTAAATAACTATCCAAGTAATTTACAACGTTCGGATGCTTGTTCTCCCGCATTACCAGAATTTCGTTTATTATAAGCTCTTTCTTTGGCTGTTGCGACAGATTCATTTGTTTTATTGCAACTTCCATGCCAGTGGATGTTTCTATCGCCGTATACACCGTTCCCGAAGCACTGCAAATTGTGATTGTTAATTAGTACAATTATTCATTATTAATTTATAACTCATTTTTTTCCACGTCTTACCCTTGTCCGATCTTTTCCATTTTTGTGTATTTTCTATTAGGGTCTCCTACGCTTACAATTGTTCTAAGCTTTTCTAATATTTCGTCGTCTGACATTTTCTTCTTTCTAGCTTTATCACCTTGTGCCGGTCGCGTCTGATCGGTCGTTGTTGACGTCGGTGTCGCTTGATTCTTATTTCTATCTAACTGAGACTGATGTTGCTGCTGTTGCACGCCGTTTCGTTGCGGCGAGCCCAGCGTGGTCGTCAGGGGTGGTGGTGGTTCCTCTTCTATAGGTTTTGTGTACTGTGCAATGAAAGTGAAACGTTGCAGATAATTGATAAAACAATTATTGACAAACTAATGTCGCACATTTCTTAATCATATTAAACTTACGATCGACTTCGTACGTTCCGGTCGGGCGGAGATCGGCGGAGGAGGCGGCTCATCTTCTTGTTCCGAGCTGGTCGCACATGCGTCCGTTGGCGTACTACTCGGACTACTACTGCTCACCCTGTAACCGTTGTCGTTTCTCAGAAAATATTTAAACTACCAAGGGACAAAGGCGTAAAAGTGTAAAAGACTCACCTGCTCAACGAATGTTGGGAGTGAGAGCTTCCAGATGCCTGGGACATTGCTTGGCCGCGAATACTTCCCACACCTGTACCGATACCGATTCCCATACTTCGAGGACTACTCGCCCTTTCGATCGGAGCTAAAGAAGTTTTATTTATCGTTAATATGGTCACTAGTAATGTATTGTGCTAAATTTAAATTATTTCTTTATAGGCAAACTATTGATATCTCAATACTTACCAACAACTCCCACCATTTTAGTTGTAGTCATATACTTGGAGCCCTTTGCCTCCTTACTGCTACTATCATACCAATTTAATACATCCAACACAGCCTGTGGGTTCTTCTTTTGTTCCTGCTTACTAATGTTGCTAGACATAAGCAATCTTGCCCATGCTTCTGGCATACCCTAACAAAGAAATACACATTATGAGACAATGATGATTATTATGTTTACTCATAACAGAATGATTATTATGTTTACTCAGAACAGATAAATGGTAATCTGGCAATTCTGGTAAACTTAATACTAGATTCTAAAGCGCACTCTGTATTAATTCTAAATTTTGATTTTTAAACATGCACATACTATAACTATATGATGTATAAAAGAATAAAAATTAAGAAATATTTCTGTTTCATGTATATTTATAGATACTAATAACTTTAATTCAAGACATCAATCAAGAACCTATATTTGTTTTTTGTCATTTGGATATATAACTCAGAAAATTTTTAATATTTAATATAATTTTGTTCTGTAAAATTTTACGATTTAAAAAAAAATTTGAAAAAAATACTCTGAATTTTATAAAATATTTATATTTATTAAATATTTTATAATGTGTATATGTGAAATTTTAAAAATTTAATAAGTCAATATTTAATTTCCTATAAAACTTATTACTTGAATACATGCTTGGTTCTTAGTTTCAATTTTAATAAAAAGATAACATAATATATAAACAAAATAAATGCAATTTAGCTATCTTATTTGCTGTGCCGAAAATCACTCTGTGAGAAAGAAACAAATATTTTTATATGCAACGTCGACTAAAGCTTGTATTAATCTACAGAAGCGACTATGTATCGACGTACTCAATGGAAAAAAATGTAAACATCTAATTTCATAAAAAATCGCAACGGAAAGAAAGTGTTGAACCACGTGGTGTATATGTATGTACAACAGGCACAAACTAAACGGTATTAATTTACTTACTTTTAGTGGCAGCTTGGAAAGAAATACGTGTCTTGTTAGTTTAGTTATGTGAAAATAATAAGATATAAGAAGCGTCGGACAAATTACCAAAGTACCGTTCTCGATATGTTCAAATGTATATATAAATGTAAGAACCAGTGAATTCATATCTCATTTCGATCAGGTACGGAAGATCCATGTGATTCTCACACACAAGAGGATACAATACAAAAAATAATATACAAAAAGATAACAAACAATATAGAGTAATTTAGGTGTAACATAAAATTTCCTTTTTTTCTCCATCGCATCTCTCTCATAGATAATCCGCACCGTGATACAACAGCGAAGCGGTAAGCGAGTGCATTTTGAACAATAGAGTGTAGAGAGGCAATTGTGCGAACCGCGACTGTGAAATCGCGAGAGAAAAACCTACCGTGAATTCACCGGTGACAGCATCAAATCCGACGTGCACAGTGTGCTCGAAGTTCGTAGGGTAACTAATATTCGGCTTGTCCTTGTTCTCCTTCACCTTTATCTTGCCCTTTAACGTCTTCTTCTTACGTTCATCAGAATCCGGCTCCTTAGGCAGCGGACGCATGTCCACTGGTAAATTAGGCGCTGATTCCCCCCTGAAAATGTAAACAATATTAATAGATTTATCCCAATCACAAATTAATGACTATTCAATTATCTTGTATCAGATGTATTAATAGTTTACATTTTATTGCAAATACTTAAAGATTTTAAAATACTATTGTTGGCATAGCGTTCTAAGATATAAAAATTTGGTAGTTTGCATATATATGTATACCAAATATGCGGAGACACAATGTTGAGATTACATCTAGACATCTTTTATGAGGGTCTCCCACAGAAGAAAGTGAGCAAGAGATATTATTTTTAGCAAGCTCTCTAGCTTAATGCCTTTCTATTCTTAGAAAATGTAGAGACTTTTATACATATTGCATAAAAAATATGAAAGTTATGACAGAATTTATAATTCCGAAAATTATGAATTATTTTTTAAATATATAAATTATTCTTTTGTAGTTTTTTATTTACATAAATTCTTACAATACTTATAAATATTGTAAAACATAAATTACAATAATTTTATGTTGTACAAATTATATGGATGAAATAATTGTTATCCGATTAAATAATTATAATTTTTTTCTCTCGATGCAAAAAAATTCTCAATAATTTTTACATAAACATATTGTACAAATATCAACAAACGTAAGGTTAAGAAAGTCTCACAGTATCCGATTGTTTTTTGACAAATCAATTATTGATACAAATTTATATTTTAAATGAATAATGTGCAAAGTTGCAAGTACCTGTTTGATGTCAATCGAACAGGGGGTGCCGGGGGTTTGTCTTCCTCATCTGACATGTTGTATCCGCTTCTGTTCCTTTGTTGCCAGTCTATCCTCCGTTGCTGCGTCTCTACGTCTTTAATTGAACCCGCGTTCTGTCAACGCGCGCGTCTATATATATAATGAATAGAGATACACCTCTCGCACCTCGTCAATCTCGCAGCTTTCACTTTCAACGGCACGAGAATTTCCTCGACGAAGAAATCCCTCCAGCCTCCTCGACGACGACGACGACGATGTTGCTACCGACTTCCCAGCCTCGGCAATACCCCCGATTCTCGAAAGGCACACCCGGTAGATGGATTTACAGGTGTAGGTGTCCTCTCTCTCACCGTGTCGCAAACGATATTCCTTATCGCGGAACGAGACTAATCATAACGACCGGCTGGCGATATCAGCCAAGACCGAGAACCTGGAAGCTTCCTCGTGGATGTCCCTCGATCTCGGCGCGAGAAAGAGAGAGAGGGAGAGACGCCACTTGACTCCGTCGATCCGAGTGGCCGCTGCTGACTGTCGTCGGCGATGGCGTCCGGCAGCGGCACGGGTCAATGTCGGGACGAGCACGGGGGACGCCGTCGAGGACGACGGCGAGCAGAAGGGAAGAATGAAAAAAAGAGAGAGAGAGAGAGGGAGAGAGGGAGCGTTTCCGAGGCGTGATTCACGCACGGGTGCCAGACACCCCGCCGTATCCACGGATCTTTCGCACGCCTCGCTCTCCCTCTCTCGCTTATCTACCTATCTGCCTCCCACTCTGGCTCGCTTTCGCGCGTGCGCCCTTTCCCTTCTGCCTCCTCTCTCTCCCTCCGTCCCTCGCGCTCTCGACAACGTTGTCGCGACAGCGGCGGCGACTCCGGCGACTCCTATCGTGTTCCTCGTCGCGCGCGGGCACTCACCCTTGCACTCTTCGCGAGCGAAAAGGTATAACGACTCGGCGAATCGGAGTAGAGCACGGTGGAGTGGGGCATATATGGCGCCCAATGGCGGATTTAGACAACACACCGAACGAACAGCGCTCCCTCTCGATGCTAAACATTAGAAAGGTATATCCTCTTGGCGAGATATGGCGCGAGAGGATCCGTAACCAGGACTTTGTTTAGCTAACGTGTAATCCGGCTCCGATGGCGCTTCTTTAGGCGCGTCCGGGACTCTTCCTCTTACGCGAGATCTCCATGAATTATCTCTCCTTCCATTTCCCCTCTCTGTTATCCCCCTGGAGTTTGACAGCTCGCCGCGTCACTCGCGCGATTAATCAACGTACGGACGCATCCTCCTCGTCGTCGTCGTCGCGCGAGCGTCACTTTCACAAGGGATTCCTCGACGATTCCGACGACGGAACGCAACCCGGACCGGACCCGGACACTCGCGTCTCACGATCTCTCGCTCTCCCCGACGACAAAGTCCGCCATCCACCCGCCGTTAGCGCTCCTCGCGAGAGAATGCGGGCTAAGGGCTCGAATCGCATGATCGGAAAACTCGCGACGGAATTCTCGTGTCAAAATTTAAAAAAAAAATGGGCATTATTTCGCTTTTTCAGCATGAAAATTATATACATATCTCTGTAATCTTATTAATTATATTATCTACAATTTAATTAATAAATTGAATTAATATTATGTCTATACATTTATATTTTATTTGCGTCAAATGTAAAGTCTTTTATGTCAATTATGTAAAATTAAAAGAGGTTTGAAAGAAAAGTTTTGAATTTTTGAATTTTGAAAATATGTGTAAAGAAACGGGAGCGTCCCGTTTGACCACGTTGCGATTGGCCACAGCCAATTATATCGACCTGTGCCTAGGGTAACCAGCAACGATTAACCAATCAGAGAATCCTATTTTGAATTGGCCAATTGGCGACGTGGTCAATCGGGTGCCACCCAAAGAAACTGCAAGTTTCTCAGCCAATCGGGGATTCGGCGAATGTGATAGTTGAAGCCATGCGATATCAGCCTTATATCGCGCTATGCAAGTGACACCAAAATTAGATAGGTTATGAATATAACTGAAATATTGGTTAATAATTGTATATATAGTATTATTTAATAATATATTAACGTAATTTTAAACGTGAGTACAGCATGATAACGTATCATGTAAAAATACACGGTACAAAATTCTGTAAATTCTGATATGTGACAAGAAAGGTTTTTAACCTGTAAACAGTCTCTCCCTTTCGGCAAATGTTTTATGATAAAATTATAGAATGAATTGTCTGAATTATCGTAATATCTTATTTTGAGCAATAGATTATTTTTATTAAAAGATTGTAAAGCAGATCATTATTTCTTGTTATTCACAGATTATGTCGGATTTGGAATTAGGCCTACACACAGGTCGAAGTTATGAGGAAGTATTAGAACAGCGACAAGATGATGAGGGATATAAAACTGCAACCACAACTGAGCAGGTAGATCTCTGTACAAAATTACACAAAATAAATATACATACTTATTTCATCGAATATATTATTCTATCGCATCATATGCATTTTTTAATGCTATAATATTGTATTAAAATTTGTTGTGTGCTATTGTAAATATCTTTCCAGGCTCGTGTCGAAGAGACAGTATTAAAATTTTACCGATCGTGCAAAGACACAGATCCCATTTTACTTAGGCCGAAGCACATCCAGTTTTTAAAAAAAGCAATCACTCATTTAAACGAAACTTATGAGGTATTTATTTTTACAAAATAATGCATATAAACATTGCTCTGTAAGAAGATTTGAAATGTTGTTTATAATGGTAAAAGATTTATCAAATATTTATAATGATGGTAGTGCTTAGACTCGAGCAGACCATGGCTCTGCTTCTGGATACTGCATTCGCTTGCAATATTAGGAGAACGCTTGGAAGATGAGGAATATTCCAAGATTGCGGGTTTTCTAGCCAAATGTCAATCGCCGACAGGTGGTTTCGGAGGAGGTCCTGGACAATATCCACATTTAGCTTCTACATATGCAGCAGTGAACACATTGTGCACTATTGGTACACAGGAGGCATATGATGTGATAGATAGGTAAAGTATATTTTACATATAAAATATACTTATTGTATTTTTTTAATAATATTGCTTTAAAACTTGTCATATGTATAGCATTGTTAAGATTTAGTTAATAATTTCAGGAAAAATCTGAAACGCTTTTTATCTTCTTTACGCGGAGAGGACGGTTCTTTCTGTATGCATGAAAACGGCGAGGTAGACATACGGGGAGCGTACTGCGCCCTCGCTGCTGCTAAATTGACAAATGTATATACACCGGACATGTTTAAGGACACCGCCGAATGGATAGCCAAATGTCAGACGTGGGAAGGCGGTTTTGGCGGTTGTCCAGGAATGGAGGCTCACGGTGGATACGCCTATTGCGCTCTAGCGGCACTCGTAATGCTCGGAAAAACAGAACTGTGCCATTTACCAGAACTGTTGGTAAGATTTTCTTTTACAATCGCGATTTTATTTTCCTTTACATGTTTACCATTTTTTTTGCAGAGATGGATAGTAAATAAGCAAATGCGTCTGGAGGGTGGTTTCCAAGGACGTACGAACAAATTAGTGGACGGTTGCTATTCGTTTTGGCAAGGTGGAACGTTCCCCTTAATCTCTGCTATCTTGTCAACGGGAAAGCCGTGCAGTACTTTCGACCACTGGTTATTCAACCAAGAGGCCTTACAAGAATATATATTAACTTGCTGTCAAAATCCACATGGTGGTCTTTTAGACAAACCGGGAAAGTATGTAATATTCTATACATTCCATATATTACACACACACGCAATCAATTTACTGTATATGCATACATTTGAATTTTGATGCCATATGTATATTTAAATTTTGAACATTTATCGGAATAAAGTCGTTTTCTTTCCTCTTTTTCAGAAATCGCGACATATATCACACATGTTATGTTCTTAGTGGACTATCAATCGCTCAAAATTCACCAATAAAATCGATTATTGGAATGAGACCTGCAAATAAGGTGGAGATAATCCATCCTGTTTATAATGTGGAATACTCTGCTGCAAAAAAAGCGCAAGAGTATTTTTCTACTCTACCAATACCCGATTGATTGAGTGTCTTAGCCATTTATAAAAATATATTCACCATGTTTGTATGTTTTTCCTAAAAAGAAGAAAAAGAAAAAAAATAAAATCTCAAAAATAAAACAAGTAATTTAAAAAAAAAAGATAGAATACATGACTGACCAATGATATCTATATAAAAAGTTATTTGTATATGAAATTCCATAATTTTGTGATAAGTAAACAAAAGCCATGTTATTCCGATGCGTATTGTTCAACACTGAAAATTGAAAAAGATTGCAATCCCTATATTAACTTTATGTTAATAAAGTCTATGAAAAAATTAAAATACAATTGTCTATTTACATTCCTTTATATAAAGTGCTTCTCTGATCTGAAATTTTTGTTTTCTTTTAATAGCATGTGATCATCTTGTTGCAAATGATAAAACACATTCATAGAGGTAAAAGATCTCTATTGCAACATACAATCTCTTATACATAGATAGATAGATAGATATATATATATATATATATATATATATATATATATACACATATATAGGGAGCGAGAGATACATAATTTATAGAATATAATACTATTATATAATTTAATATCTATTCCCGCGAAGAAATACTAAAAATGCAGAAAAATACATCTTTTTAATATAAAAATTTAACTTCTTAGTATTTGATTCGAAACTCTTGACTAAATTACTTGTGTTGATAATTAAATACTTTTATTTAATCATTTCTTCTTTGTCCTGTACATCAACTAAATATTGATGATCAATTATCACTTGGCATTTCGCACGATTATAGGCGCGGCAAGAATCGAGGACGTAGAAATGACGTAAAATCTATAGAGGAAGCTTGTGCTATTTTCTCTTTCTCTTTACATCGACTATTACATCGGATGCAGATTATTGATTGACACAAGTTCAAAGTACAATATTACTTGATACTTAAATTTGAATTCTTTTTGTACGTTTGTCAAATAAATTATGAAATAATACCTATAAAAATTACAACAAAATCATATTTTTAACGTTTCCAAGCTTCAAAAGAATGTCACCTGTCATACAAATCAATAGATTTGTTAAACGGAAAAGTGAAATGAATAACTTTTGTTTACATTATTGCAATGTTGAGGATTAATATAAATGCAATGAATAACATGTACATGTATGATAAATGTCTAAAAATTGCAGTCTTCCGATAATTATTTTGATATATCCAATTTTTGCATATAGTTATACGCATGGTTCGACATAATTGCCAGGAAATAATCCTGTTATTCCGTCCATCACCCCCTCCCACCATCCGTCGTCGTTCTTCTTGAGCACGTAAATCACAGAACTCTCTTGAAAACTTAACTCGTCCTCTTTATCCGCATAATAATCATAAATAGCCACCACTGCAATTATTTTTTTTAGTACATATTAGGCTACTGATATATATTATTACTATTTTATATTTATATGTATCAAACAACTTGATATTGTAACAAATAAATAAATATGAAAACAATGAAAACAGGAAAGAGATGAAACTCTACCTTTCTCAATATAATTTTTTGGCACCCATCCGGGCAGATCTTCCTCATCCGGCACAATCGGCATTATAGCACCAGAGGACGGAGTCGGTCTGCCGAATTGTGGATGTTCATCCTGTTCCGGTGGAGGGGGCGGCGGCAAAGGCGGACTACTTGCGCCGCTGCTACGACTAATCTGATGCGATAATCTGTGTGGTAGAGTGTGATGTCCAGTGTATTCTGTCAAGTCGCCACCTAGTCCAACCAAGGGCGAGGGTGGAGCTAGTGGCACAAAATTACAATACATATTAAATAATATAAGTATAATACATGTCATTATAGAATTATATAACATTATATGTTATTAATATTAATTGTTTATATTATTTATTACTTACGAGGCATACTGTTATGCTGCTCTTGCGCATAGCCCGCGGTAACACTAGGCGGTGCTGGCGGTGGCGTCTGTGGATGACTCTGTAGAGGATGTACCGTTCCCACTTGTGGCACAGTATGTTGACTGATGGTGTTAGTGTGCGCATTATGATTGACGTTATGACTCGCGTGGGACGTATTGTGAGCATGCAATGGTAGAGTGCTGTATCCTGGGCCACGATCTCGCCTGGGATGGCCGAGCGGATAGTTGGGCGCGTAGTGACTAGGAACTTGTGGTGGGGCTACCGCTGGTGGAGTCCTATATTCGCGGGATCCTTTACTCAACGTTCCTATATAAAAAATTTTGATATTATTCACTGTATCTTTGATTCACATATGGCATACACTTAATACATTGAATGTGACAAGTAGAATGGTGTAACATTTAGAAGCCGAAAGAAAGAAGAAACACACATGCAAGCAAAAAAGCAGTAAATACCTTAGCGAAATTTTTAATTTTTTTATAACCGCAACTGAAAAAGTACACCTTTACAAGTTTGTGTAGCACTCGTTCAATTTCTAACACTTATGCAGGGTGTCCCAGAGTGTTCCTGGGACACCCTGTATATACAGAATGTTTGACAATTTGTAGTGTAATTGCAAATTATTCTTATACATGACAATAGAAGAAGGAATTCGTATTTTTCTATTTAGCAAAAACTGTAAAACTTAAATCAAACATTCTGTACATATTGCATATATGTATATATGTAACTCTTACCAGTTCTCACTGTCTGAGGTGGTGTAGGTGGTTTAGTAGTAGGAGCAGGTCCTACCATAGCAGCACCTAAGCCTGAACCTGTAGAAGCAGCACCTAAACTTTGAACACTGCCTTGACTACCACCTCTCTGTTTGCTTCGTGGTGTGCCACAGCTACGCACACCATGTCCAATATCATCCAAAATTGTATAATCGATGCTCTTTCTAACATATTTAATCGGTTTTTCAGGATTTGCAGGAGCGATAATTTTATACTGCCGAGTTGTCATTTTGTTGGCTGTTAAGACCCCAATTTCTCTTCTGGCAACCTTCTCTTTGTGAATCATAACTGTCTGGGCAATATGATTCATCTGACTTTCCATTTCAGCGAGCTGAGACGTCTGCAGGTCTAATAGTTGAAGAAAATTGTAAGCCAGAGTATTTATTTGATATGCAACACTGGCTAAAGATTGCGTGGTATAATTTTTAGTTTCCTCCAATGCAATTCTCTTATTTTCCGCTTGAAAGTAGTTTGCCTCGCAGTATTCAGCCACTCTCTCCAAATTTGTATGGCTGTCGGCCAGATTATTCCTTCCTTCAGGAATTTCTTGTCGTAGAAGTGCCGCCAATTCAGCCATGACTTCAGAATCACTGCCAACTCCTGATGACACGCAATAGGAACCTGACCCTTCTCACAGATAATACAAAAGAAATATATATACATATATCATATGCAGAGAAATTATACTATAAATAATTACCATTTTTCACGCTAAAGCACAGGAATAATTATATGAAATAAAAAGACAAGCATACGCCTATCCTACCTTAAAAAGTGTATGTTTATATTTTTAAAATGATATTTTTATCGCTATAAACAATTAATCTATGTTTACAAAATTATGTTACTTCGTTTTCGAGGTGGATGCAAGGGGATATGTCAATTTTTATCAACTGATATACTTGCCACTCTCTTCTCCACGAAGGGAGTCGAAGCGAAAAATTAGATTATGACAGGGGCGGCGTCTAAAGAGATACGGAAAACAAGATGGACACTGCTAGAGGTGGTCAGAGGGATAGAGTAATGGATAGAGTCTGCTCACGCGATAAAGGTACGTACGTATATACGTACACAAACGAGTTGAACGATCTAGAGAGATAAAGAAACGAATAAAAAAATCAACTAACGGTACTCAGCCATATTGCCATATAACTACCAGCTACTACACAGCCTCATTAATTCATAATTACCGAAACTCCCGAAATTTACACGTATAAAAAAAGCGTACAGCGAGGAACAAAATGTCCGTGACATATCGTTCGCACAATCGAATCGCTGCGATATACATCTCGATACAATCGATACTATCGTTTGTTCTTTTCTCAGGACTTGAATTTTTATTTTGCATATCTTTTGTATATCTATATATGTTTTTTTTTTATTTTGAGTGTGTTCTAAAAACAAGCAAAATACATATATATTATATATGCATGTGTTATATATGTGTACGAGTGTGTGAATTTGGGCATTTTGAATTGGCCACGTGGTATCTAGACATTCGTATGTTCATGACTGTTGATTAAAAACAAATTCAAGATTACTCCTTGCATCCGTCATTTTAATATACACGTTTATTTTTTCATCTCGTGTATTATTTTTAATTAATTGTGATTTTACATGCATATGTATGTATCTAATAAAAGAGAGAACCTTTTTAGGAAACAAGATCCCGAGAATTCGAACCATCTCGCAGCGATGTATCGATCGCGCTATCGAAAATTCAACGAGAGACATCAAACGTGAATTATTACAAACAATACGCGTGCCTGATGTTGCACGTGTCATACGATTTATATGAGGGTAGACAGCAGGACTTTTCGATCTGTCCGAGCGTCGAGCTCTTTCGTGCACGCGATTATTTCTGCGAGAGATACACGCCAATTCTTCCGCGTCTCTCCGCATTTCTTGCTCGCGATTCTCGCGACTCGCGACTCTCGATTTCGCGCGCTCGCGTTCGTATCTGCCCCCGCGTCGCATCCAGCCCCGTCGTCGTCACGTCACATATACGCCGTAGGAGAAACCGAGCTGAAAATCGAAGCCGGTGGGATCTCGGTAAGTACGATTTTTCTACGGTCGCGAATTGCATCTTATCGTCGAAATTGCCACGAATTGTCCCGAAAGCCCATCGTCTCGTTTAGAAATCACACACGAATTATTTTCGCAGGTGAAATTGAATCTCGTCGCGAAACTTGACTCTGGTGCACCCGGCGATCAATCGCCTTGGCCTCTGTACCTCCAACGATCCTTGGCTGGAAGGTTTCGATTTGTGCAGAATGTCTTTCAAGTCGAGGCAGATAATTGTTTCGGAAAACGATTCGCGAAATAATTTCGAGGTGTGAGATACGTCTGGGAGAACTTTACAAGGACGTATTTCGTTTGAGTTTGGAATCGTCGAGTTTTGAACATTTATCGCGAAGATGGATGATCTGCTGAAGCAGTTGGAGACGTTGAAGATCAGGGGCGATTTCTGCGAAGATAATTCGTGGACACTATGTATAGATCTGATTCAGAGGAGCTTTGCACCACAGAAAACAATCGGGACGGAACGTCCATGCGAGGAGAAGGATTTCAGGGAATACAGGCTCGTCGTGGAGAGAAATCTGCGCAATATCAAGTCTATGCTACAGCATATCTCCAACAGTTGCAGAGAGAAGCATTTGCAGCTATGCAATGCTACAGGGACAATTAAAACATTTGGCATGAATTTGTTATTACTTATCGGTGAGCACAATGAGAAAAATATTTGGAATACAGCAGAGTGCGTCTCTATTTCCAAAGAATTACTCGCTGGCTTCTATGATCTATATTCCTGTCAAAATGTCTCCAAATTTCTATCAGAGGATAAGAATTTAATTAGCTTGTTGTTGTTGTTAAGACCCAAACTATTAAAGGATACCTGGAAAACCTATCCATCAGCTGTGGCATGTTACAGGTGGATTTTACAAGAAGCCGAAGTGAGTCTAAGTTTTTCTAATTTGGATTCTTCTATTTATTTATTCTTATATTATTAGATTCTCTGTACATTCTGCTTTCTTTTATGCTCTTTGCAGAAACCAATTTTATTTAACCACATTGGAGATGTCTTGCCAACTGCACTAATTATTCTCGATGACTATTTTCCTGATAATGTAGTAATAGGCCTGGAATGTTTGTACCAGATTATACAGCATTCTTATATGGTAATTGACCAAAGTTTATTCTTACTCAGCATTTTACTATATATACATATTCATTTATTTATTTATTTACTTGATAAAATATTTTAGAGAAAAGGACTGATAGATACTGGCTATGCTAAAGCAATCTATCACACTCTGGAACTTTTATCTCGTCAGAAGGAAGTAAGATATATTATTCCTTTGTATTCTTGCATGGCTAGTCTTTTAGCTACTATCGAGCATTGGGATAATACTATAAATCTATTTGAGGTGAGTTTAATTTTATGAATATGGATCAATCCATATAAAATATCATTGCAACTTTTATACTTGCTTTTTTTTGTAGTGGACGACACGAGATGACGTTCTTTCCACTTTAATAGACAATATGGAATTTGAACAGAATATCGAATTACGACATGCATATATGTCGAGTTTACCTCAACTCATAACAAATATAGGCTGTGCCAAATGGTGCGAAGCGCTCACTCGCGTACTCGCTGAATACTGTGAACATCACACAGATTTAAGAACACTAAAGGCAACGTTGGAGGTATGATACATTTTAAAATACTGCTCATAATATGAGATAAGTAATGAAGCATTTGCGATCGTTTCGCATTTTTCTTAGACCGCAAAGACGTTCCTCTTGATGTTCCGCTTGCGAGTGGCAGCCCACTGTGCTCCACTTTATACCGCGTTCTTGAAGTTGCATTTTGATTTGACGGAGACGCCGGTGTTCGATCGTGCGATCATGCAAAATCTGGAAGATTGCATCTGCATGTTGTACCAATTATCGCCGAACGTAGGCTGTGCGGTAATGAACGATGATCGGATGCGTTCGGTACTCAGTAGTAGCTTGCCAATGATATGCCAGGGTGGTGATATCAAGTATTTCGAATAATTTACGTGACGCGCATGCACTCGCGTATTTGTATATACAGTGTATTCTACATTATGTGAATGCTGCTCCGATAAAAATATTTTACTTTCTCGTGTAAAACTTACATAATATATAGATAAAATGCAATAGGTACTTAGATATTTTATTTATGATGTACAAAGATCATCAATATATATAATTATTTGTAAAGTATAAACATTTTTGTTACAACATATTTATTTTAAATTGTTCGTTCTTTCCCGCGAGATACATACAAACGAAAATCGAGTTGGAAAGAATATGTATATTTTTCAGATATTTAGGAATATATTTAGGAATATATAGAAAATTTTTTCTATGTATATATTTTCTATGCATATACTTTTTTTCAATTGAATTGCAGACAATAGTCCAATTTTTATGAATAATCGAAATATCTATATACATGTATTTATAATAATTTAAAAACTATTATAATTGATATTATGACTGCATTTAGAAAATAATGACATAATAGTAAGTAACAATATATTGTCTGCAAAGCTTCTACTACACATACACACACAGACATATATATATATATATATATATATATATATATATATATATATATATATAATTTCATCGTTATATCTTTCTTGCATAAACATTGACATTTCAGATGTCAATGTATATAATTTTTTTTTCTAAAGATAAAAATGTGATTTTCTGAACGTAATTAAAATCAAGAGATCAGGAAAGATATAAATTTCTAGCAAAGTACAGAGAATGCTTCAACTATATATACTTTATATTTAATCAAAGAAACATTTTTTGGAAATTTTATTCCGTTAATGTCAACGCCAAATATTTAATAACAATGCACAATGCTTATCGATGCCTCGAGTAAGAGGTAAGACGGCTTATCATATCTTATGTAAATGATAATAGTGTTTATTAGTGATTTTTACAATTATTAATATTGCTCAATATTTTGAAGTAAGAGTATTAAGAAGTAATGCAGATTATCAGTGCTTCGAATAAGACATAATATTATAAAATTACAGACAATATCTTTATTGGGCATCTAAAAGAGGAAATGTCAAATTCAAAATAATTTGTACTTGGCAATCCATAAACTATTTTCCAGTGTTGTGTTGCAATTTTATATATCAATCATATATTTTATAAAATATAGTATCACGGAATGAATTCGTGAGATATCTTTATATCTGTCACTCGTTCAACTATCACTGCTCTTGTACTTGCGCTATTCATGATGAACAAATTATACAGAATCGCTTATAAGTCGACAAATATACTTCCAGGTAAGCTGATGTTAAACATACATATTTGAAAAACTTTTGATTTTTAATTCCAATCTTCAATATCGAATATTAAACTCTTTGTAACATGGTACATATTTTCTCTTACAAATATATATTGAATATATCTATAAATAATGAAAATAAAAAATAATATAAATTATTAAAATATTGTTAGAGGCGACAATCTGTGGATCCATAAGAATTGAAACTCTCTCTTTACTTTCACAAATGCAAGAAGAAAACCATATTAGAGACTACAAAATACAAACACATAATTTAACAGTAATGAATAATTATTCTGATGCACAGGATGACCCCAAAAATTTCAGATCAAAAAGATTTTTGAGGAGAAGATGAATAATTAAACAAAGATTTGACGCTTTTCTTCGGATTTGGTGAGTCGATATACAATGTGTAAATGTATCTAAAAAAAATTTAATCGAGTTATTCATATGCAGAAAAAATATATCAGTTTAAATTTATAATGATAAAACTAATGTAAAGAAAGATTAATAAAAAAATAAAACTAATAAAAAGAATAATTTAATTTTTGTCTTTACAGATCATCCATCGATAGCCTTCTTATTATAAAATTTTAACTTCTTTGTCATTGAAGGTGGGCCATTGAGTTTCGAAAACAAGATACTAATTATCTCAGTCTTAAAGAGTTGTAGATTAGATGATTTAGAATTGCATTGATTTTCATCTTTATTCCCATATTCGAACAAGATGCAAGTATGTATAAATGTAGTTCCACGTAAATGTAGTTTCGCGTAAAAATTTGCATAGAAGCTTCAGACGTCGTTAGCGGCTAGCCTTATATTTCGTATTATACGTGATTTTTTACAATGTTTTTTTTAATAGTCTTATTGTACTCTTGCGTAGTTATATGTATATGCATGAAAAAATGTAAAATCATGTTAGTGGCTGCAATCATAATTATATTATTAACTAATTTTAATATCTAATATTAGTGCTTTATATAACTTTCTTACGCAACTGTTTTTGTAACGATGGAAAACACGTAATATCTTTTATTTCTTTTTCTTATAAAATTAAACTTATATATTTGTTGGAAAAATTCGGTAAATGCTAATTATATAAAAATTCGACCTTTCAGAAAGGAGCCAAATAACGTTGTTTATTTTCTGATAAATTGCGATAATTAATATTCTGATAATCAATATTTTTGACAATATTTTAAGAAAGAATCTTATTTTGCTCAATTATCGCAAAAGTTTATGCATGTGTTACATGCACACATATATACAGGGTGTCCCAAAAGTCTGGACAGTCGAATATCTCGTATAGAATACATTTTAGAACAAAATGATTTAGACAAAAGTTGTAAGGATTAAAAAGATATATTTAACTGTAACATCCATTTGACATTGAGTGACGTCGCCAAGCTTAGGGCAAGGTCAACTTGAATTTTTTAAATGGAACCCTTTATTTTTTATTGCATATTTTTGTAGCTTACCTCGAGAGCTTTCCAGAAAAAATATGGAATTGTTAATTGTAAATTACATATTTTTTCTTCGAAACAACTGTATGTTTTCTTTACACCAATTGATTCCTCTCATTATTTTGTACATAAAAGTATTAAGGTAAAATAATACAAAAATGAATTTTTTACTAGATATTTTATGGTTTATGTAAAATTAAAAAATTACTTCAAGCCTCGTAACTTGAAAAGTATTCAATGAAGAAATACTTTATTATAGTGTTTTGGAAAGCTCTCGAGGTAAGCTACAAAAATATGCAATAAAAAATAGGAGGTTCCATTTAAAAAATTCAAGTTGACCTTGCTCTAAGCTTGGCGACGTCACTCAATGTCAAATGGATGTTACAGTTAAATATATCTTTTTAATCTTTACAACTTTTGTCTAAATCATTTTGTTCTAAAATGCATTCTATACGAGATATTCGACTGTGCAAGTTATGTACGAAGTGCTGTTATATCTTAAAACTGATTACTAATATAATTAAACTCGTAAGAACTATTTCCTAGATCTATAAAGTAACGCGCAGAATGTGCATGATTAAAAGCAATATTTTTTGCCCTTTCCTTGATACTTGTATATTAATAAGTATATCAGTACTTATATTTATGATGGGAAGTATGATTAAAGATCATACTTGATCTTTGCTTCCTATATTCAAGAAATAACTCAATAATATCTACTTTTAATATAAATATAATATAAATATAAGTTAACACATGCATAAATTCTTGTAGCTCATTATTCTTGTAGCTGACATCGAGAGCTTTCCAAAACACTATAATTAAATGTTTTTCCATTAAGTACTTTTCGAGTTATAAGGCTTGAAATAATATCTTAATTTTACATAAACCATCTAGTAAAATATCTAGTAAAATATTCATTTTTCGATTATCTTACCTTAATACTTTTATGTACAAAATAATGAGAGGAATCAATTGGTATAAAGAAAAAAACATAGTTGTTTCGAAGAAGAAATATGTAATTGTTAATTGTAAATTACATATTTTTTCTTCGAAACAACTATGTTTTTTCTTTACACCAATTGATTCCTCTCATTATTTTGTACATAAAAGTATTAAGGTAAGATAATCGAAAAATGAATATTTTACTAGATATTTTATAGTTTATGTAAAATTAAGATATTATTTTAAGCCTTATAACTCGAAAAGTACTTAATGGAAAAACATTTAATTATAGTGTTTTGGAAATCTCTCGATGTCAGCTACAAGAATACCAAATAAAAAATTGGGATTTCCATTTAAGATTTAAGTTAATTTTCATATGATCTTCAAATGATTTTCCAAGATCAAATCATTGTCACCATCTTATGGCCCCCTTGAAGCCACACAACTTTTGTTTGAAACATTTTTCGATTTAATGTAGTGTTTCTGAGATATTTTGATGAGTCTTTTAAAATGGACATCTTGTATATAACCCTGTCTGTTAACGAAAAAGAAAGTTGACACCCTGTATATAACCTTGTCTGTTAACGAAAAAGAAAGTTGTTTGCTGAATCGAAATCAAAGGCCAAATAAGATATAAGTAAGAATCATGGAAAACACGAAGTCATACTTTCAGTAATGTACATTTGTACATTATGAAATTGTGCATTACGCATCATTTTATAGCTCCGAGAAATACATGCAAGTTTTAGTGTATTAATAAACAGCTTTGATATCTAACAACGCACTTTGAATAGGATATGTAAAATTATGGGTGAATACGCTATTATCTTTGTTTAAAGAAAGATATTAAATTGAGGGCGTTAGTATCTGGCAGCTTATAATCTTTTCCTGTTGTGATTTTATATATGAACCGTTGAGACTCGTAAACTCTCTTTATTCACTATCTGTCGTTCATCCAACTATGTCTCCACTCTTAATTGTGCTATTTGCATTACTCGTGGTGTATAAATTATACAGATTTGCGTACGATAAACCACCTAATACACCTCCAAGTAAGCTGATATGAAATTTACACATATTTGATAAACTTTTTTTATTGTTAATTCTTATTTTTTTCAATCTCCAGTATCGAATATTAGATCTTCTGTAATAATATGTATTTTCCCTTACAAATGTTACTTATATAAAACACATGTCCAAAAGATGTCCAGAGGACATCCAGAGAACCTAAAATATCCTTTGGCTGTCCTCTAGATATTCTATGGACGTCTTTTGGACATGGTGTGTTGTTAGGGATGTATTGAGCATACATTACTATAACATAAATTATGAAAAAAAGTTTTACATATATATATATATATATATATATATGTAAAACTTTTTTTCATAATTTATATATATATATATATATATATATATGTATATATAAAACATATGTATATGTGTACATATATATTATATTTTATATTGAACAAATATTCTTAATGATATAGTATGATAAGTAGAATCTTGATATCTATCTTAATATTATATCTTGATTTTGGCTAATTATTTTTTATTTATGAGAATTCTATAATGCAGGTCTTATTAGGATTCCCATAGGAGGATCTTACTGGTTGTTATTATGGAGAAACTACAAATACATGCATTTGGCTCTTGACTATTATGCAAGAAAACTAAAATCAAACCTCTTCAGCTGCTATTTGGGCGAATATTTTGCAGTGATTGCAAATGATTATGCCAACATAAAGGAAATACTCTCGAGGGAAGAGTTCGACGGCCGAATTACAAATATTGATTATATAAAAGATCGAGCTTTCAAAAAGAAATTAGGTAATATGAGGCGATTGTTATTTATTCATTTGTTCATTTCTTGTTAAATTGCGATATTTTTTGCATAAAAGCAATCTTTTTTTTTCTTGGTTTTTTTTTCTTTCAATATATTGCAAACATAACATTTGATGTTTACGTATTAGGTAGATAACGATAGACAAAACAAAGAGTTCTCTTTAAAATGCGCGGCAGATGATAAATAAATATTGATAAATAAATATTGATTGATAAATAAATATTGTATTTTATAGGCATATTTTTCATCGATGGCCCAAAATGGCAAGAACAGAAGAGATTTGCTCTTCGCTATATGCGTGACTTTGGATTTGGACGACGTCATGACAAACTCGAAAGTGAAATCATGGATGAGATGACTCTGTTTCTCGACATTCTGAAAAACGGACCCATTTATGACGGAGAAAAGGTACGATTATTCTGAGAGACATAAATACGCGAAATATCGTTCTCTCTTAATGAAGAAAGTTTCGCTTTTATAGGAAATAATAAGAGGCAACTTGGCGCTTTTCCCAGACGTTTTATACGCATCATCAGCTAACAACATATGGAATGTGATGTTCGGTTACAGATTCGACAGAAGTGAACACGATGTCTCACGACATCTCTGTCGCTCGGCTTTAATGATGCAAAGAGCGAATGATCCGACCGGCGGCGCACTTTTACAATATCCCTTCCTAAAATATTTCGGCAATGTATTTGGCTATAAAAATCATATAAAAGGAAGTAATGGGATGATAGATGTTGTCAAGGTAGGACTTTTTATCAAATGAATATTATGTATGTGAAATCTAGTTTTGTTTTTAATGAACGCTTGAATTACTATGTAAATTTTCGAAGTTTATTTAAATAATTCTAATAATTTGATTCAGAATTTTTTTATACTAAATTGAAAAGGTACAATGTGCTTATGTGTATGTGTGTGTATATATGCGCGACTAGCTTATATATTTTATTAGATATTTATCTAAATTAATTTATTATATCAATGCGATATATAAAACTTTATATATATAGCAACTTTACTAAATAATAATAAACTTAACGAAATTATCTAGAGCTTATTAAAATTGATAGATATAAAATTTATATTACATATAAAACGGAAAACTTCTTCTTCTCTGTGATTACACATTTTATGTGATTTCATAGAAAGCTTTGGAGCGTCAAAAAACTACTCTTAGCGAGAATGATAATCGTGGTTTCGCCGATAATTATCTAAAAAAATTAAACGAAGATAATAAGTCACATAATTTCACGGAGGAGCAAATGATCATTTTGATAATTGATATGATGTTCCCTGCTTTCTCCGCAATACCAAGCGCTATTACCAACGCTATCAAATACTTGATGCATAATTCCAAAATTATGGAAAAAGTCCAGAATGAAATAGACAACGTTGTTGGGACTGGCAGATTGGTCACGTGGGAGGACAGAGTAAAGTGAGTTAATGCTGTTATGCATTTTAAAGATCACGATCTTAATTTTTAAATAAAGTGCATATTGATAATCACATTTGACCTGTTATCACATATGCTGAATTAATTTTTTAATAATTTATCACATTTATATATGATATTATATATGATATTATATTTATCACATTTATATATGATATATTATATTATAGTATAGATATATACATTAATTATTCAATGTGATAAAAAAATCATTATTATCTCTTATAGATTTTATATAACAAGAATTTTAATTAAGCTGAAATGCTGCATGTCGCAGATATTCGAAGGAATTCTTATTTTGTTTCAGTCTACCTTATACGGAAGCGGTAATCCGAGAGTCTTTGAGAATCGAAACGCTCGCCCCGCTCGGTATAATTCATAGAACCACAAAGAAAACTACGTTAGGAGGCTACGAAATACCGGCGAATATACCGATTATCACTAATTTAGCAGCAATGAATAATGATCCTGACATGTGGGGTGACCCCGAAAACTTCAGACCAGAAAGATTTTTGAAGGAAGATGGACAATTAAGTAAAGATTTGACACTTCCCTTTGGTTTCGGTGAGTTAATATATGATAGATGTATCTAAAATATGTAGATGATTTGTAAAAAATTAAGTTTTTATATATATATAAAGAAAATAATATACATATGTTTAATGATATATATGTATGTATAAGTTTAAACTTATAATTAATTATTAATTAATGCTAATATAAAAGTATAATTAAATCTTTTTTGTCTTTACAGGTCGTCGATTATGCGCAGGGGAAACTTATGCCAGATATAATATGTTTCAATCGATAGCTCTCTTACTACAAAATTTTAACTTCTTTTTCGTTGAAGGTGAACCATCGAGTCTCGAGGACAAGGTACCTGGTCTAATCATCAGCCCCAAAGAATTGTGGATACGTTTAGAATTACGTTGATTTCTATCTTCGTCTCTACACATTTGTATTAGATAACAAAATATATAAAAGAATATATAGAATGTAACCAGTGTTTGCTGTAGATAATTTCAAAATTATTTAGATAAAGATAAAGATAAAAATCCGTAAATTTATCTTAGATGAGATAAAGGTGATTTTTCTTTTACTTAATCTAGATGAAAGATGAGATAATTATTGCGATAATCTAGATAATTATCTAGATTTTTTTGTTTATTTTAGAAAACTATAAATATTTGTAAAAAATGTGACGTAGATTATAAATGGGATATTAAAATCATAAACATATTCTTTCTTTTTTCCTAAAGAATATTTGTATTTCTTCATCTGGTTAAACATAAAGATGATCCATTTCTTTATGATTATCTTTCTTATGATGATCCATTTCTAGATGATTATCTAAATAATTTTATCTAGATATCAGCGTAGGATTGTGTGTATCGCTTTTTATATAATCGATTTATTGGGACAATGTTGAGAAAGAGAGATTATATCTATAGCAAAATGTGATAATATTTTCTATGACTAGTAATATTATTCTTTTTAAAATCATGAGAAAAGCATAGTTGCGATTTAAACGCGCATGCAAGAGAAAATGGAATAAGAATTAATATGAAAGTTGCACTGACGTTAGATAAAATTATTGCTTTTCTTGGGGTAGATTTAATGTTTGCTTGCTGTTGTCCTCTGCCACGAAGTTTCAAATAATTCGTGATAAAATGTTTCGATTTTTATCAGGCGTAAACGGTGCATTTATAATTATCGAATTGATATATTCGATCAGCAATCATCTTGATAATGTATTCCTCATTATGCAATTAGCTTGTGCATTAGGTATCTTTTGTGAAGTTTCGTTGCAGATATATTTATTTACGCAACAACATGATCGTTTACAAGTAAGAAAAAAATAATAATTATCTTATCTATTACATTAATTAGATTAATCAATAATGTACATTGTATAGAAAATAAGAGGATCATATTAACATTTTGCGCACAGAACAGATTTTTGCGCATATATATATATATATATATATATATATATATATATATATATATATTGCACACATAAATTTATTGTATATATGCACATTGTAATAAAATAAAAAAATTATATTAATTATATATACATTGTATTATTATATATATACGAATATATGTTACATTGCACAAATAATCATATTGCATACATCAAATAAACATAAATATTTCGAAATTATATAGGAGATACGCTCAATTATTTTAATTTTTACTTTGATATATTGTTAATGCATGACATATGTTTGAGAAACCTTTAAAAGATTTTAACTGCGATATCCACATATTTATTTAGTGAGAATACAAATGCACACGTAAACCAATATATTGAACTATATAATTATAGATTTTCGTTTTGCATGCAATGAAAACACACCAAATGATACGAAATAGACTTCGCATCGTGTATAATTGCAAATCCACATATGGAATACTGTACAATTAGAGATCCCTATCAGTTATTTTCTTTTTATACACTAAGAAATGTTTGAAAATTGAACTTTTTTTCCTATTAACTTTTAAATAAATATTTAATGTATTTGTTATAATTTTTTGAAGATTTATTGTCAAAGTTGTATTGTTAAAATTATAGTTATTGGAGTGAAGAATATTTATCCTTATTTTAGGTATTTATGTAATATTGTGTGTGCAATAATCTGTGTGCAATAATCATATATACAAAGTATGATTTTCTTTATATACATTTTTCCATATATACATACATATGTATTTATTATAGACATTATCATCATTAAGATAATAGACTATTAAATTTTGATAAATAAAAGAAGTATCATGTAAAAGACTTCAAAATTCTTTTGCTGATATATGTCATCTGGCTTGCTCTTTATTTACTTTTGCTCTCTCTTTCAATAATCTCAAGAAGTTTTCGTTATCTTTCGTAATAATTAACGATTTTAAATGTCCACAAAATAATAATTTAATCTTTTATCATTTATTTAATCTTTTTGAACGTAATTAGTATTCTGTAGATTAATGAAATTATATATTCCCCTCTATATAACACACACAAACATGTTTTATATTATTTTATTGTAGTTTCCATAACAGCAAAATATTTGAATACTTAATACCTATATCCTAATATTAAATTGTAAAATATAACAATTATAAGATATAATTAATATTAGCAGATTTTATATAATTGCAAGCTATTTTTTCGTTCTTAATTATTACTATATAATTTTTACTTAACGCTATCCTCTTCTTCGAATCTTTCGATTGTTATACTGTCGCATTCCTAAGATAATAAGCACATGCATTTCCTCCTTCTTGATGTTTGTTGGAATATCTTCCATAGTTATTTATCTTCAGGCATTCTTAAAAAATGTTCAATTCACTGAAGCGACTTTTCTCTATTCCTCCGATTACTATTTCTTTTTGCTTCCAATTTGTTCAAAAATATTAATATAACATACATAATTTATATATATGATTAATGACATATAATTTATATATTATATATTATTATATATTATTGTAATACATATAATTTATGTAATTTTTGTGTATCTCTCTTAGTCAGACTCTTCTCCTTCGACCTGTCCGGCATGGGTGACCCTACTGATAACTACAGCTAATATTCATAGTCTGTTTTTATATTTAAGGCCGTCTTAAGTCAAAGAAAATATTGTGACCACTTCATTGACTGAATAAAATTTTAAGATACAATCTAAGATAATTTTAAATATAAGAACAGATTATATATGAATACTGGCCTACGTTACCTCCGGCATAGCTCTTAGGTTCATTAGAGTACTCAAACCTCCTCACCCGGCAAATGCCTTCGTTAAGGTGGAGATACCATCGAGGAGGAATAAAATTTTACTTTATTTTCTTTTAATAGTGTAGATTTTTCAAACTTTCCAAATAGAAAATATAATACAAAGAATTTATAAAATATATATTATATAATTATAAAATATTATAATGTATAATTACATAGCTTGCAGTCATAAAAATATATTACAAAATATTTATTATAATTATAATACAATTTATAAATTGGTGGTGCTATCAACATTAAATAAATATATGTATATTCGAATTTATTCAAATATTATCAATAATATGGATAATGATGTTGAAAGCATCAACATATACGCTTGGACTTAACAATAATATTATGTATATAGAAAGAAAGGGAAAGGAAAGTTCGAAGAATAAAACCATTTTTCGGAAAATGGAGATATATTTTCCATTTTTCGACTTTTATTCATGATTTATTCTCTCTCTCTCTCTCTCTCTCTCTCTCTCTCTCTCTCTCTCTCTCTCTCTCTCTCTCCCCCCCCTCTCTCTCCCTCCTCTCTCTCTCTCCCTCCCTCTCTATTGTGAGTGTTATAAATAACTTTTCAACACATAGTTTTGTTATAATTTCCATAATTGTATAACTTGATACATAATATTTTATTTTGACTATATGTTAACTCGAAATATAATATAAAGAATTATAAAATATAAATTACAAAATTAATTTAATATATAATAATACAATTAAATTGAAAATGTATAATGTATAACAATAATAATAAAATAAAATATACATAATTTATAATACATTATACATAAAATAGTTAATACGTACAATTTTACATACATAGAGTATTTTATTATATTACACGAAAATATCAGAAATGCGTACAATGTAAAATTTATTAGAAATGTTTAGATTGGCGTAGCGCTGATAATCTATCGCAACCAAAAGAATCATTAATAAATTTATCGATTATGTCTTTCAATTAAGAAAGAGTACCCGGAATTTTAATGCATTTTGTAAATGGTTTTCTTTTCTACAATATTATCGCGAAAAGATAAATTGAGCTTTGATTAAATTAAAGAAAAAATTGCGATTTAAATTTCACGAATGTATGTGATGAATAAATTGATAATAATATTTAATCACAATACATATAATTTCTATAATCGGAATACAACGTGCGCACACGCAATATAATTATTATCGTTTTATATGATAATAAAAAGATTGCGACATTACAGGCGCATTTTATATGATCTGCAATTATAATATACGAGGAATCTGCAATTATAATATATGACGTAAAAAACCAAACGCGTATTCAGAATGTAATACTCGATTTCTTTTCAAATATACAATTTCATGTAAATTTTGTGATTAAAAATAAAAAATATATCTTGTTCCGCGGACAATTGCAAACAGGCTAAACTTTAATGTTCCTTAAAATCGCATTATCACCACGTTCAATGAAGGATAACTAACCCAACGATTAAACCAGATCAAAATCCCTCTGCCGAGTGACACGCTGGTTAATATCTGACAGAGAGAAGAACGATCCTAAAAGTGGAAAACGACTTCAATTTGTCTTATTTCTTCTATTTTGGATATTGCGAAATCGATCTACAATGAATAGTTAAGTGATTCATTAAACATCAGAAATCCCTTTATAGGAAGGAACGAATCCCTGATCTTCCTAATTGCTCCTGATAACAGTGATTTCGGCAGCGAATTAACTGTTACCCTTCTTATCATTTTCAATAAATGAAATTAAAATTCGCGTAAAAAAAATGTTCTTCCATTTTAAGAAATATCTTTTTTTACTAAATAATGACTGAATATAATGATTTTTATATACATGTTAGAATCAAGTATATTTAGAAAAAATGAAATACATGCGCTTTTAGCGTTGCTTGATTAAATATGTGAATAATAATAATTTTAGGGTACTAAATGTGCTCGAGACAAATCAAATCTAATAACAGTAAGATTTAAAAAAAATTTAATTTAAATATTTAGCAACATCAAATGATTATCAAGAAATTAATTTTTCTGTTGCATTTAACAGTTAACACTTAGCACGTAACAATAATTTGCTGATCTCATCTTACTGATATCAGAGTACCCATTCGATTTATCTCGAATTTTTTAATTACTCACACATTTTATATTATATCATGCATTCCTAATATATTAATTAAGAATAATACAAAAAAGAGTTTTTTCAAATATATCACAATT